GATCAATAAACAGTAACAATCACAGTGGCTGTAAGTTACTGAGCCTTTGCTGTAGACCAGGCGTGTGCTCAGTATTTTATCATTCACGCCAGCTTCTGTTATCCTTACAAATATTATCCTCAGTGTATAAATGGGAAAACTAAGGCTCAGCAAGGTTAATTAACTACCCAAAGTCACACAGGTAGTAACAGTAAGAATAGGGGCTTGAATCTAAGCATTCTGGTTCCAAGTCCCACAACCTTAACCTTAACCCTACACCACCTCTGTCACAACAACCCTGTAGAGTAGATCAGAAAGGTACCACCAATCTACAGATGGCTACGAGTGATGGTACCTCTTCTGAGGTGTGATTGGCCACCACTCAATGGCCTGTCTGAAGTGAGACACCAGTTCGCTAGGAGATAAGAAGACAAGGGAGGCATTCAGCCTACTTTTCATCTTCAGATACCGTTGATTGGGATCTAACCACATGCCAGGCACTTGTGTTTACAAATGTTATTCTTATTTCATGCCCACATCAGTGTTACAATGTAGACATCATCATGGGTCCCATTTTATAGATGAGAAAACTGAGGCTCTAAAAGATTAAATAACAAGTTCTCACAGGTAATCTGGGGACAAAGATTTAAGGTCTGGCAGCCCCTGGACCCCATGCCCTTAACCTCTATCTCCCTCCATCAGTGAGTTTCAAACCTATGGGTTGGAGATCTCTAGGATCAGAGCTCCCGGAGCTATCTATTGGAATATTCCACAGAGTGCATTAAAAATACAGATATCTGGGCCGAATTTAAAAGACTTGGATTCTGCATGTCTGAGCGTCTGCATTGTTAAAAAGTCCCACGAGTGATTCCCCGCACGGCCACACTCAGGACATTGGCCAGAGACCGCACTCTGGAGCAGTAGCCTGCCTTTTCACAGGGCCCAAGCAGTTCTGTTTCAGGGAGTGGGCAGATTACAGTTTGAGAAACACAAGCTCAGAAGACACTGAAGGTCTTTTCAGCAATAGGACTCTGTGGCTACTCCCTTCACCTCTCCCTACTGTGGCCCCTGGTAATTCACCCCATGTCACAGTTACAATCCTCCCAGGCTGTCCACAGATGGAAGAAAGGAGGCACAGACCCCAGCCGTTTACAGTGAGCCTCAGCTTTGATGATGGGAGAATTTCCGAGAAATCTAGTTCCACCACCACCAGCCAAGTCCTCTAGCTGCCCTCCCGTGAGCACCCACCAGTCACTTATCATTCTGGGAGCCTCATTGATCTAATTTGCTAAATGTTAGCACTGGCAGAATCAGTGCTCAGTCAGGAGGCTCGGGC